CCCCTATCATGGATCGTCCCCAGAAGATAGCCCTTAGGGATAGTGCCTGAAAAAAAATGGTTGTAATAAAATTTTCCCTTATGAATAAATTTTTTTTTCATGCATTCGTTTCCATCCTTTTTCAAAAGTCAGCGTAACCAAAAAAGAAAGCTAAAGAGTAAAAAGACGTACGCTCAAGAAAATAGCCAAAATCCTAAATCACGAGAAAAAAGAGATAAAACCGCGAGAAAAAGACAGGATTAAAACAACAAACAAAGATCACCCGACCAACCAGCAAGAGTTGGGTGATCACCACAAAAAAAGATCAAAAGCAAAGAATCCCCAGCAATCAACAAGTTGGATGAACACCCACAAAATCCCCGGCGCAGACCAGACGGACAAAACTTAGAAGACGAAAGAACACATCCCAAACATCGGCGCATGAGCTAGAGCAGTAAGTCGCCACCACAGCCAAAGGGTCAGCTACCGCAAGATGGAGCATCCGAAGGCACAAACACCAGATGGGGGTGTATACTCATCAGGCCTTACAAAAGGGGGCTTACCGGACGGGGGTTCATACTCGTCAAACACCAGATGGGGGTGTATACTCATCAGGCCTTACAAAAGGGGGCTTACCAGGCGAGGGTTCATACTCGTCAAACCAGATGGGGGTTCATACTCATCAGCCGAAAGGATCAGCTACCGCCAGAAGGAGCATCCTGGAAGCGCACCTTTTTCCCAGAAGATCAACCGCCACAAAGACGGAGCATCTGAAGGACAATCGGGCAAGAGAGTCAACTCCTTTACCCTCCAGTCGATCTCCTTGACACAACAGGCCAGCAGTCGACTAGTCGGGTAAAGGGGGGGCAGCTGTAGACCCCAAATCTTGCCCGGCCTCATAATAAAGACCAGAAGACCTCTTATTCGAAGATGGATGAAGCCTAAGCAGCCAATAGGAGAGACTATTAGGCCCCATACTAGGATAGGAGGGATTTTTGGCATAAAAATAAGGATTTTCGCCTTTTAGGGTCGAGATCGTCGTCTCGGATTCGAGACCGTCGTCTCGCCTTGCAGGAATGGCGAGACCGCCGTCTCGACCTTGTCAGACGAGATGGCCCGTCTCGACCTGACAGGCACGAATCCCTATAAATAAGGCCTCCATTCCCCTCATTCCACACAGTTCTCTCATTCTCTCTCTAGTCACATCACTAGATTCTCTCTCTAGAACCCCTCCGAAGCATTTCCGGAGTTTCTGAGCGTTTCTAAGAGTTTTATTTAAGCGCTTCGAGAGGTTTCCGACGCTGTGTAGAGTGAAGGGTTGCCACAAAGCACCCTAATTTGCAAAAGATTAATAAAAAGCTTGCTCTGGAGGTTTCTACTTTCTCCCTCTATCTTTTATCGCTTTATTTTTAAATTACGCAATAGACATTAGGGCCATGTAGTCATAGTTTAAATTCCGCAAATAAAAGGGTAAAAGCGTATTTTTTCGGTTTAATCATTTAAATAGTTGGCCTATCATAGGGAACCCGAAAGGGGTGTCGTAAAGGAACTAACACTTCCTTTACACGTAACGAACTCCCTTACCCAACTCTGGTTCTAATGACCAAAGTTGGTTTTTCGAAAACCAACGCCTTTTAATTCCTTTTCTGATGTTTCCGGTAAAAACATCGGTGGCGACTCCAGAGAACCCTTCAAAACTAACTCTTGGGTTAGCCCGCTTATCGGACAATCCAAGAGCACCCTTTCGAAAACCTCGCCCCTAGGTTCAGCCCGGTTATCGGACAACCTAAAGGCGTTGTAACCACACTAATAAAAACGCGAAAAATGGAAAGTCAGAAACCATCGTGTCGCTCCGACCGCCTCGTTTTGACGGCAGCGACACTCATGTTCGTCGTAGAAAATATTGGTCAACTCAAAATGTTTTTGCAATATTAAATTCACATATCTCCTAGTAGGATGAGAATAAATTGTATCTAACTCTAAGATTTTAAAAGATGTTCTAACTAGGAAGATCACTCATAATACAAGAAATGAACAATTCATAAAACTCAACATTTATTCATTCACATGAAGACTTAATTGCAATTATTAAGTAATATTATTTTTTTATAGGAAAATATTACTTGGGAGATGTAATATTCATGGTAAAAGCTTAAATTATTACTCCATATTAGGTAGTTAGGTACCACCTCAAAAAGTATTCACAAAAAGGTCCTAAAAAATCCTAAAAATTGTTTAATCATTGTCATTCTTCATTGAGAAATGCAATTGAGAAAACATTTGGGACCTTGAAAAAATATTTTCTATTATAGAAAGTGGTATGAAACCCCACTATTGCTTTGAAACATCGATAAATTTAGTGTATCAGAAGTTGTTAGAGTTGTAGGATGATAAGTTTTCAACACAAGGTCATGAGGATAATTATAGGAAAGAAGCTCACTTGAGAGACATGATTACAAATCAAATGTGGATTGATTATCAACAAGAAACTAAATGTCGACTTTGTTTTGTTTGAATGTACTATTTCATTTGTATGAGACGTTATATATTTTATATTATCATCCATTTTATAATTTAAGATTTGTCTCATAGAAAAATGCATACAATCTTAACTTTGATGAAATGATCATGTTAAGATTAGCATAAGGTAGCAGAAGGTAGTTCTTTGCAGGTTAACAATGAACAGGGAAAATGACAAGTTGATCCTGGCTAAGATATGCAAGAATTTACAAAATAGATTAAAGGTATGTGATATAAACCTCATTTGCACAAGGGTTGACTTAAGATCTTTAGGGTTAGAACCTTATAGGAAATTTAGGAAATTAGTGAGAATGTGGATTAGAAAGTGGTGAAAGTTTCAAGGTTGAACAAAATTTTAGAAATGTCGATATCTCAAGTTATAAAACTCCGATTGAGGTGATTTAGAAATGAGGCGAAACTTTTCATTCTAAAATTCAATTTAGGCTAAAAAAACACTCAATTTGCACAAATAGAACGAAAGTTATACCCATGAAATAAATTTGGGTAGAATTGAATTTTTTGGGTTCTGATGAAAAAATGACAAGAGGTGAATGTGAGTCCTTTGATACAATCAAGAGTTTTTGAATCACTCAAGAATTTAGGAGAATCACTCTCACCAAGATAAAAGAGTTAAACTCTAATATTTTTAAATAAAATTCAACTTGTATTTTTGATAAAATTTACTCATCATTAAAATAATAATTAATCTTAATCATTAGATTCCAAGACAAGTAAATATTGAAAATTTTTTTTATACTTACTCTTAGAATAAGTGAATTTCTTATTAAATTAATTTATAATATATATATATATATATATATATATATATATATATATATAAAATGATAATATTGTTATTTTTATTTTAAAATTGTTATTATTCTATAAAACCAATTAGCCTATAAGCTTACAGATTAGTCTGGCCAAAGCCCATACAGTCAAGGTCTAATCCACTAAATCAAAATAGGATTGATTCAATTTAGGTTACAAATTTTTTAATTTAACCTAGTATATTTCTTGAGTCTTTCGGACCAATCTATTAGATTAAACCTATTTTCATATATTTAATACTGGATATTGAAAAACGATAATCAAATTTATATTATTAATAAATAAAAAATAAATATTAAAAAATAAAAAATATGAAAAATATAATTTTTTTATTCAATATATATATATATATATATATTAATTTGATTTAATCTTTATAAGAAAAAAATTAAATAAAAGATTAAAATTATAAATATATTTAATATTTAATATTTAATATAATGATTAGTGGAGATATTTTAGTGATTGTCCTTAAAATATTTTAAATGTCTTTCTCTTTGCCTTCAAAATCCCCTCAATATTTGATGGGAGCAAAAATAAGCCAAGGAAGAGATGTGTCTATTGGATGGTCGTAAAGGTCACGTGAACCGCCCTAACCTGTGAAGATAAAATATCAGGCGTTTAGACATGTATGTATTACACTAATATCTAACTAAAAATGCGGTCAAACTAAGTGATTAACTATAAATAATTGCAGCTTTAAATTAAGATAATTAGGTGATGAAGAAAGAAAAAAAAAAAAAAAAAAAAGTTGTAAAGCGAAGCTGAGAAATATCTTGGAGGAATAAGTGACAGCTGTCCTCCCTCGGCACCGCGAAATGGTTCGTAGCCATACAAATATTTTAATGTATCTCATTTCTTATTCTCGATATTATTTTAATATCCACGATGATCCTAACCAACCCATTATCAAAAGCTGACTTTGAAAATTAAAATATATTATGTCCTCACATTTATCTTTCCATTTAAAAATGGATTAATTTGATATAGTATGGACCAATTAATAATTTCTTTATTAACTTTGTGAAATTCAAATATTTTCAACATTTCAACAATGATTATTTAACTTAGATAATATAAAATGAATATTAAAAATATTATTTAGTTAGTTAAGTTTTTAAAAAATCATACTAATTGATGTTTTTGGTGTAGGCGAGTTTCTACTGTAAATTTCAATTTAATTTAGTGAATAAGACTTATTTTAGTAAAAAGTGTTGAGATTAGTTCATTCTAAACCTAGTCTAAACTTAATTATTTTTATTAAATTAATTCATACAATTTAATATTATATATATTTTAAATGACTTAATTTTTGTGATAAGGATTTTGTAATAATAATTCTATGGATTATATCTATTTCCCATCTTGAAGATTCATATAAATATGCGGAATGACCAAAATTAGTGATTGGTTGTTACATAATTCCTCCCTTAGTGTTGAAAAAAAAAAAAAAAAGACGTTGAAGCTTAATCCATAAATTAGTGATTGGATACTACACCATTTCTTTGGCTAAAGTCAAAAATAATGGCGCACTCATGATATTTAGATTTTAGTGGCCGCCCTATTGTTTAGATTAATTTGCGGCACTTATTTATTAACCAATGTACCTTGTAGGCGTAGTATATATATATATATATGGCGCGCGTGCTTGGGTTTGTGTACTCTCCCGAATGACGAAGGTACATCCAAACGCAAGCGGTGGTGCATGTGTGAGTGAGGCGGAGAGGTCAAAAAGTATTAGTGGTGGCGACGCAGTGGTCCTCACGGTGTGGAAGAAGTCTCTCTTGCCAAACTGCAATGGATTCACCGTTTTCGACGCTAGAGGGGATCTGGTGTTTAGGGTCGATAACTACATTGCACGGAATAAGCGTCACATACTTCTCATGGACGCTGCCGGCACACCTCTCCTCACCATCCGCCGCAAGGTACCTATTTCTTCATCATCTCCTTCCTTACAAATTACAATTATCAATCATCAATTCATTCATTCCTTGTTCAGAGGCTAAGCTTCGGAGACACCTGGCTCGTGTTTGAGGGAGAGGATGACTCCCTCAAACCACTTTTCACGGCGAGGAAGAATGTCAACATCCTCAACAAGTGTTTGGCCCAAGTCTTCAGCTCTTCCGGAACGGGAACAGGAACTATGAAGAAGGAAGTTGCATATGAGATGGAGGGGTCATACGTCCAACGTTGCTGCACGTTTTACAACAACAATAGGAGAAAAGTTGCAGAGATCAAGATGAAAGAAGCTGCGGCAGGAGGTGTAGCTTTTGGCGCAGACATCTTCCGCCTCATCGTACAGCCTCACATGGACACCGCTCTCGCCATGGCCTTTCTCATCCTCCTTCATCACATGTTTGGATCTCGTTGACTTCACCATCATCCCACCCCTTTTTCAACTTGTTATTTGTTTCACTACTTTACAAGTTAAATCCATGCATACACATCAATCACATCATCCCACTTCCTATTGCTCTCAACAAATAATTAATATTCTAGGCCGCCGCCATCATATTCTGTTACCACCGCCACTCCCACTCCCACTGCCCCTGCCTAATTTTACCTTCTATTATAATTGTATAAATTTTTCGGATTCCCTTGTATGGTTAAAAATCCTCCGGCTTGGTTTTTCATTTTATACAAAATCCAAGCTGTATCAGATCAGGATGTAAATACAAGCATGAAGGAACAAAATATGAATGTTCATTATTTCCTCTTTATTGACTGTAAATGTAAAACCGCTTTGAGAACCGAAACTGATTAAATCTAAGAAAAAAAAAAAACCTTTAGATTTATTAAGCATATATCATGCCTTGGTGGTTGTTAGCCGTACCATAGAGTATGAAAGAGAAATGTTAAATTCACAACTTTCACGTTACAAATAACGTAACAACACAACTTCCTTTTATTAATTTCATAATAATAAAAATTTATATTTACAGGATTATTATTAAAATGAGTTATTTGGATATTTGGAATTAATAGTGGTTTTTATATCACTTTTCAGACCAAATAATAATGTATATATGTTGTGTGTTATTCGGTTGTATACGGGTTCCATTCTTTAGATCATGTTTTTATGATTACTTAAAAATAAACAGTGGTATCAGAGCCTAACTTATGCCTACTATTCCTTTATTTATTCTTTTCATCGGGAAACATAGTATAATAGTTAAAGAAAGATGAATAAGGAGAGAACCCAAACCACCATGATCGATCATCAACTTGATACCCCACGACCATCTATAAGCCACTCTTCTAAAATAAATCTCACTATTCCAAAGTCCTGTAAAGAAACCCTAAGTCATAGGTTAAAAAATCTTATCGAGTATTCTCGAATCCCAGAAAATGCCCAAATAGAAAGTTCCTTATCACCCCTACTAAGTCCATATAATGTCTTTAGAAGAAACAAAGGAAGATTTTCCTGGAATGTAAAAAATCTGATATCCACTCCCAGACTAGGAGTAAAAGAAATTATCCAAACCACAAAAATGGATAATTGTGCTCTCAATGCTACTTCGGCAGAACAATATATAGATCTGGAGATAGAACCTTCTCTCATCAAACTCTGGCAAAAAGAAGGATATGTGACTCTTCATTTTGGAGCAGTCAGGCTGGTGCTTACCCTTCATGGAAGAAAAGGCTTGCCAGTAACCGCTAGAGTCTCTCTAATAGACTCAACGTTCCAAAAATATGAACATGCTGTTATTGGAATAGTCTTGACTACGTTAAACTCAGGAAGTGTGGTTTTGACCATGTTTCCAAATTTCTGTGTACAATTAAAAGACCCAACTCTTCCAAAGAGATTCCGGGTACAAGTCCAGATTGTCGGAGCACCCCAGGATGAAAGTGCTATGGCAGCCACTCTCCATCACCAGTTGATTTTCAGAATCCAAGATCACTGTTATGATCTACCAACAGAATCACCATTTGCAGAAAATGCTCTAATGGTGATCTCAAATACTGAAGAACATACTCCTTCCATAATCCAAATTCCCAGACAAATCCCTCGGGAAGAGCTCGAGCAACTAATCCCCAGAGAATGGATTAGCAATTATGAAAATTTCAAGAAGAATCAATCACCAATCATCAAGACGGATCATGCATTTAGAAGGCTTCCAGACGGAACAGTAAAAACTATCTTCAAAAAGAAAAATGATGAAGAGTCATCATCTTCAACGGTCTTCACGACCATGATGATTACTTTGGGAGATAAAGAAAGAAAGATTCCGGTACATTCCTTCCGACCAGATGGAAAACCCATTTATTCAGATAAAATAAATGGACATTTCATATGGGATGTAAATCCAGACATGTGTGACCCAGAATGCCCTTGCACAGAAACATCTGATGATTCTAGTGATGACGATGATTCAACAGAAGAAGAAGACAATAATGATGATGAGGATGATGAGGAAATTTACAAACCTCCTCCAAATCCTGATAATCCAAGAATGGTGACTTCTCACCAACCACTGCCAATATACGAAAAGATTTTGAAAGCCTTGAAAGAAAATTATGAGCACTACTACCAAGAAAAAATGACAAAAGCACCTCAGCCAATACAAACTCAATGTTGTATGATGTTGTCTTCTGAAGAAGAATTTCCTAGTCTGCGACGAGGAAATCCACAAGAAGAAACTGTAATGAAACCTTTCATTTACAGCAAGGAAGTGACAGCAGAAGGAACAAAGAAACCTATCTCTCAGGCAGAAGAAGTACTAAACTGGCAAACAAAAAATGCTTTAGCCCAGAATAGCCTACTACAAAAGATTGAAAGAAAAATGGATAAAATTGAATTATCCATAGAAAAGGAGATCGGAGGCATGAATTCCAGGCTACAAAAGCATTATGCAGAATTGAAGGAGAAGATGGAAAGACTTGAAGAAGAAACAAGGAAAATTAAAGAAACAAGAAGATTCAACAACTTGCTCGTTGAAAAAGAAAGAGAGTTACAAAAAACCAGAGATTACATAATCAAGAAGTCAACACTCCACATCCAACCAACAACATGCTATTCACAATTGACAACATTCCCCCATCTCAATGGAGGAAAAAGTTCCTAGACTTCAAATCATGGTTAGATACAAAAATGGTGAACCCAGGAGCAGACAGATACAAAGTTATAGAAGAATTCTGTGCAGGCATGACAGGAATTCTTAAAGAATGGTACATCACACTGGGAACAGTCAATCAAGAGAGTCTTCATAATTCTACCATTGAAGAAGTTATTGGGGCATTACAATTCCATTTCTTAGGAAATGCAACATTACTAGATCAAGAGTCCAGAAGAGAATTCTTCGAAATGAAGTTTTGTTCTTTAGAAAAGAAAGATCTTGACAGACATTATCTAAGAATGTCTCAAAGGTTTTATCAGCTCAACGGAGTCAATGATCCCAGTCTCAAAAACACTTTTGTAAGTTCTCTACCAGAAGAATTACAAGATGAAATGTGGAGGATACTTCAACAAACAAATAAAGAAATTTTGCAGATGACTATGGGAGAAATCTATCAAACTTGCATTGCGGCTAAAGAAAAATTATGCAGTCAGCAAAAAATGTTCAGCAAGATGGCATCAGATCAAAAGAAATACAAGAAAACCTGCAAGAAGAAATATTTGCAGATCCAATGCAAAGAAGATAGTTGTTATTGCAAAAACAAAAAACAAAAAAGGTTTCCTCCCAAAACCAAATTCAAGCTGAAGAAAGGAAAGAAATACAGATTCTTCAAGAACAAACCCTTCAGAGGAAAAGGAAACAATCTGAGATGTCATATCTGCAAGAAGAAAGGACACTTTGCAAAGAATTGTCCAAACAAAAGAGAAAAATCTGCGAAGCTGACAGAACTCTTCTTAACCAGAGAAGAAGATGATTTAGAATCACTATATGAAGAACAACTGGAACCAGATGACCAGACAGTATTTGCCATTGCTGATTCAGAAGAAAGTTCAGAAGAATCTAGCAGTGAAGAACATTTTCCTGTGTTAAAAATTCAAGAAGTCAATGCCACAGAACCAGAGATTCCTTCTCTTCCCAATGCAGAAATATCCATTTTCCCCTCCAAGTATGATGTTCCAATTAAAGCTATAGGATTTATAGATACTGGCTCAACAAGGACGATGATGAATCCTATAATTCTTCCAGCTAAACTATGGACAAATAATATCCATAAGTTTAGAGCAACAAATGGAGAAGTATTCCAGACAACCTTGATGACCAAACAGAAGATAGGAATTCAGTTTTTCCCTGGCTGTACAGTCTGGATAAAGGTAATTGGAAGTGATAAACATGGAAAAGATGTTCTGATAGGAAGAGATGTTCTAATTCAAATTCGGAAGCTGCAGATATTATCTGATGGTCTCAAGTTCAAAAGACTGACAAAACCTTTTGTGCCAATTCCAAACTTATTTACATTGGCAGATGTTCCTCCTGGATATGAAGAAATCAGAAACAAATTACTCAATTGTGTGCAGAAAGCCATAATCTTTTCACTCATCCAAATCCTTTATGGAAACGAAAAGAGTTCTTTGTTACACTTCCTTTCAAGAAAAGTGAAGATGTCAATCCAACGAAAGCAAGCCATCCAGGAATGAGTCCATCTGATTACAAGGCAGCCCAAGAAGAATGTCAACAACTATTAAAACAAGGCCTCATTGAGCCTACCAAATCAGATTGGGCCTGTCCAGCCTTTTATGTCAACAAAAGGTCAGAACAAATTCGACAAAAGAAGAGACTTGTTATTGATTACAGATCATTAAACCTATTCATCAAAGATGACAAGTTTCCATTACCCAAAATCTACTCTCTCCACTCCTATATCAAAGATGCCTATTTCTTCTCAAAGTTTGACTTAAAATCAGGCTTCTGGCAATTGGGCCTTGACCCTAAAGACAGATCCAAAACAACCTTCAGTATCCCAAATGCCCATTACCAATGGACTGTCCTCCCTTTTGGTTTAAAAGTAGCCCCATCACTTTTCCAAAAAACTATGGTTCGAATCTTTGAACCCATCCTTCACAGTGCTCTAGTTTACATTGATGATATTATGCTATTCTCATACACAGAAACTGATCACAAGCTTTTGCTTCAAGAATTCCATGATCTTTGTCACAAATATGGAGTGATGCTCTTAGCAAAGAAATCTGAAGTTGGAGTCAAAGAAATAGATTTTCTTGGAATGCATTTCTTTCACGGAAGATATGTTCCTCAACCACACATTGTAGAAAATCTACCACAATTCCCTGATGAGAATATGACAGTAAAAGAGATCCAACAATTCCTAGGAATTCTAAACTATGTGAGAAACTTCATTCCAAACATAGCAGTCTACACCTCCAAGCTTTCAAAGATGCTGAAAAAGAATCCTCCTCCA